TCCTTCTCAGCCTTGGCGTTGGTGAAGGCCTGGTCGGCAGTCTCCTGGTGCAGACAGGCGAGGTTGGTAACCTGTCCAGCTCCGGCCTTGGCAGCGCCATCACCGAGAAGACCGAAGACGGGGTCGGCAATCGCCTTGGGGTTCTGCTTGTTGAGGAACTCGCGGGTGATGTTCAGGAAGATCTCGTGAGAGTGCTCCTGGGGAACCTCACGCTTGGCCATGCGGCGGACATGGTGGTGGCGGTGGTAAGACCCAGCCTCGGCGAGAGCCAGGAGGGAAGAAGCGGCGAATGCAACAGCTTGGTACTTCATGTTGACCGAAATTGATGATTATCGACGTCGATTGAAGTTCGAACAGAAAAGACCGGCCTTCTGCCTACAGTTTTCGACTGAAGTAGTATTGAAAAAAGGGTGGTAAAGAGAATATGGTAAAACGTTAACGTAGAGCAATCAAAGCCGATGCAAAGAATGGAATGAGTTCTCAGAACTCGTGGTGAAAGAATGAATCGAAACGGCGAAGAGAATGTCGTACGAAGATGAGAAGCTATAGCCAAGAAGAAGAGATCTGGTGCCGAGAAGGAGATCACTCAGGTTTATAAAGAAAAGATTGGATGGAAAAGATGATCAGAGCACATCCCTGGCACATCATCGAATTCAGACGGTCGAGAGCATGAGCCGCATCCTTGGCCAGCGTATGCCGGCAAAGCGGAGGGATGAGACTCAAGGAGGTCACTCGAATGGACCACCCCGGGGACGACATCGAAGGGTGTGATACGACACGAGACGAGGTGAGTCGGTTAGGACGGGCCAGAAAAGATTGCCAGGTCCAGGAAGCTGTTGGGCCCGAAGCCTTGGTCTGGCATGTGCAGGGGAGGGTTACCTGGTGGTGGAGGAAGAGTGACAAGACGCAACAAACGTCAACGTCTGAGTGTCATGATGGCCAAGTCAACCGCGAATGAGGCAGCAAAGTGGGGATTTCACGACAAGGCCGCCACTGTGTCGACCGGGGACGAAACCGCTCACTGCAAAATTGGCTGTCGCTAAAGATACGCGTGTGTTGTTGTTGTGACCAGGCCGCTCAACTATTGCGACAAGGGTCGCGATATGGGCAGAGTTTTCGGATAGCGTTGCGACGGATGGGAGGGGACAAACTGCAAGGCGGCAAAGAGTTCAGACTCAAGACAGCGATGTGTACGGCAAGATGAGGCGGAAGATCAGACAAACCGAGCCGCAGGATGTCATAGAGCGAGTTTCGACCGGGGTGTGGGCGGTAATGTTTTGGGTCGCTCGCTTCTCCCCCATGCGTCACATCGCTCGCCCACTGGGCCCCGCCCCCCACGGCAAAAATGCTTGATTCAGTCTTCCCGCCAATGATCGCGTCCCGCGAGGTCCGGATGGCGAAGTCGCCGGCGGTGGCTGGTGGGTAAGGGGTCTCTGCCGCAATCTGCTTAGGGCTTAGTGTAGGGGTCTGTTCCTCTCTGTTGAAGAAGCTGTGCCGTGCTTTCGTAGGCGAAATGCACCTCACCGTTGCCCTTTCTTGCTGAACTCGGTTGAAGTTCCTGGAGGCCGGTAAGCTGGCGGCTGACAAACCTGAAATGAAGACATCTAGACCCCTCGGGGGTGTGGACCGGGGCACCCTTTTCGGCATGTCGCACCGAACAAGATCTATGATTGAACGGGTCTTCTGGCCGGTTTACCTGGTCGGACGTGGCAAACCAAAGAATTAACGTGGACGGTTAGATAGATTGCCCCCCATCAAAAATTGACGGGACGACTAAACTTCGTGGAGGCTAGCGCCTGAGCTTATTGAGGCTTGAACTGGGATGTTTACATCAGTCTTTGGAAACTAACGTTCACATTTGAGTGTCACAAAGTCAAAATACCATCCTTTGAGTTGATAGCACACCACCTTTCTCGTTGAGTTTGTGTCTTCTTCTAGATGACAACCAACATCCGACATCCTTCGTCCATCAGCCCAGAACTCTGATCGAGTCTGCCGAGAAAGATGCTCGCCAGGCTCATGCGGCAGCGAAAGTGGGCCACGCTGCCGTCGACCGCCATAAGATCTACTGTTTCAGACGATCGCAGACTTCAGACGCATCAGTGCCAAGGGGCAATATCTCAGACGCTATCACCATGCGGCCCTAGCCACCCTCGTGCGTCATGTGCGACTGGCAGGCTGTCATCCCAGCCATGCATCCATCGCAGCGGGGTTGATTCACTTATTGACAGGCACTCGTCCGCCTCCATTCCTCTTCACTCGTGGTATGATCTGCCTCGCGCCTTCGGAATTCGGCCTGGGATGAATTATGATATGACTCGAGCTTTGTCATCCACCACCGCGAACTGTTCAATCGGACGAGCCGGCGACCAGACGATTCAGCGTCTGAACTCGGCCTCATAAGACGGTTGCGCGATTTGTTATGATCCTTAAGAGGTCCTGATAATCATCCTCAGTCTGAGATGGGATGCAGTTCATCACTTGTCATGCTCCACTGACTCGGCAAGACCATGCGCCCCAAGCATATTCTGGCGCGTGGGAGTCGACCCTATTAATGTGGCTTTTTCCTTAACCCAGAGCCACCGGCAGCACTGGGATGAAATCTCAGGTGTTAGAATCCAGAACCAGCTGCTGATGGTGATCGCAGGCCGCGGGGTCAACGAGTGAGGTGTCCACTTTGGTCTGGGCTCATTCCACCTCCGCATTCATGACTGTTACTTGAGAGATCACACACTCTCAGAAGCAGATCATCAGAGTTTGTCATCCGCCACATTACGATGCATGAGCGGCTCGTCTCATGCTGACTCCATTTTTCGAGTATCTTGTCTGCTTGAAAGCCTCCGACCGTTGACCGACAAGATGGCATTGTGTACCGCCAAAATGCGCAACTTTGTTCCCCACTCGTGAGAATGTCATCCTATTCGACGCCTTGTGAGCACACGAAACGCTGTTCTTCATCAACCGTGTGATGAACTGCCGTTCATGCCCCATGACGTGTATGATTCGTGAGAAACGCCAAGTGTCCCCCATCTGAAAATGGCAACTATTCCCTGCACATTTCACTTCACATTGGCAACCTCTGACACTTGGCGGCACTGGGGATTGCCGCGTTCTTGACGGCCTGGACAGAAAGATCTCATGTACAAAGAAATTCTCGAGTTACTCCCTTCCTTCAACAAACGTGTGGGTATCATTGGTAAGCTACTGCTATGATCAAGCCATGTCTATACGAATAGTGTAGTCGTCGCCTTCTTGTGCGACAACAGTTACGGTAACACCCCAGTCCTTCACGGTGTATGCGCTCGCCCCGCCCCCATTGAAGGTCAACGGCGCGTTGTCAAGCTCGTCATTGGCGCAGCTAGCTGAGCCCCAGCCTTGGTTTCCATCTAGAACGCGAATCGGTCCCTCTCCCGTGGCAACGTCGGTTGCCACCGTGTACAACAACACGCCTGCGGCACAAGCGTTCTCGTCGTTGCCATTCTTTGACCGGACCTCGGCTACTAATGCTTCTCTGTCGTTCTGCTTAACGACGACAGCCTTTACGCCACCCTCGGTCTCCAGTGGGGACAGCTTATGGGTAGTCGACGCCGATGCATTCCCAGCGCTGCTTCCGGCCGCTGGGACTACGCACTCAATCTGGTCGTCTGCAAGCCAGCCCAACCTCCACTTGTTCCATGCAAAATAGTCCGGACTGTGCCCGCCAACATTGGCCATCATATCCCAATTTCCAGTGTACAGGCCAGTGTAGCCCGATGGTAGCGGGTATAGATCCGGAAGGCAAAAGGCGTGCCCCGTTTCATGGTTGAGAGCTTTGTAACCCCATACGTCGTAGGTGTCAAAGCCTATGGTGACAGCCTTCCTGGCGACGTAGTTGATATCGTAGGTATACACAGAAGAAGTAAGAGTGGCAGAGAAGCTGATAGCCGTCGCGTTTCTTGTCGGCATGATGTAGAGCACATCCGTAATTGGGCCGTCGGTGCTGTTAACGCCTGGCACTGGTGTGTTGGTGATCTTCAGCCATTCTTCCAGAGCATCCTTGATGTAGACTTGGTGCATCTGCTGAGACAAGCCTCTCTCGAATTGGTAATCGGTCGCGTTTTTCGGCATGCGGTAGAATCGCGTCGTATCGGCGGTGACGTTCAATGCCAGCTTTCCATACGAGGATTTGTCGAACCATTCTGCTGTCTGTGGGAAGAAGACATCGTAGGCTTCCTTGGGTGAGTCTTCGGATGCGGTCTGGTCGGGAAAGTCGACGAAGAGCATCAGTGCATTCAAAGTGCCTGCGCTAGGCGCGCAATCGTAGTTGTAGCCGAACCCCGAGCTAAAATACACGCTTTGGTTTGCTGCGAGTTTGCAAGATGAGCTGTCGGCCCTCCGGGCAATCGATGGCAGGCCCGCCGCGGATGCCGCGGCCGAGAGGAGCGCTGCCCCGTAAAATGCAGATGCTGTCGGGATCTTCATGTTTGTGGTGGAACTCCGAACAGTCGTCTCGGACAAACGAAAGACAATAGGAAGGTGGAAGCCGATTCCTTTGGCCTGGAGGACGGTGCTTATTATTTATTCAAGATCTAACATCCTTTCAATGTCTATTCATGGCTTTGGGGCTGATCCGAGCCACAGTGCCTGGAGGTTCTATGTATAGTGATTTAATCTCCCCATGTGGGAATACGAGATGAACGCTAGGCGTGGACCAGGATTTAATACGGGCTTGCCGACTCCACCTCGGGACCTTAGGATAAGCATAATGAGGATGCATCCACTCAAAGTATGTATTTTCAATCGCTGGGAAACGTTCTCTATCTAGGTAGATCGAGTAAGTTTGTGCGCTGTGTATTTGAATATGAACTACTAGCTGTTGCAAAGAAATGAGAATATTGCCCCTTAGTCAAGCGAGAGGCAAATCTCAGCATCATTCCGCATTCCCAGCAGGCTTTTGTCCACACACGATGTGCCTGATTACTTTTCGTCAGCTTCGGCATTCATAGTATTGAGAAGCCCACTTACACCTCGTAGTACGCATTGAAGCTGCGTTTGTCTTTCAGCTCCTTCCGGACCTCGGCGAGTTGCAGCATCGTTTCCTCCTTGGTAAACCCAAGTACGCCGCAAAATATTCTCAAGGTGAAGGCCTCCAGGCCGTCCAAGAGGTTTGTCAAGTTCAAGAAACCCATTTCCTTGTAATAGGGGTCCTTTGGCCACACACCAAGCGGCACTTTGACCTTCTTGTAGGTTATGTTCTCAAATCCTGCATTCTCGACCCAACCTTTCAGCTTGGTACCGGGACGGCTATCACGACCTGTCGACGCAATGCCGTCGAAAAGAGTTTTGATCCACTTGTAAGTGGCGTGGTCGTGGGTGAAGCTTCCGTCGTCTGAACTGTACTCCCCACCCATTTCGAGGAATTCTGCCCAGCCTCCTGGGTTCAAGTTCCTTCAGAAAGGATCAGTATGAGATGGGTCATTCACAAGGGGTTCTTTCATGAGACACGCACTTGTAACAGTTGCTGATCAGCTTTGGCCAATCTTGGATGGAACCCATCATCCAGTGGCAGTTGATGAAGTCATACGTCCTGTCAACCCAAGGGCTCTCGACGTCGTCAATCTCGAACTTGACATTGGGGGGAGCCCTGTTCGATAGTGTGAGTCAACATGCCAATTTCAATTTGAGAAGACGCACCATTCTGGCTGAATAGCGCTGAGATCAATACCGTGGACCTTGAACACTGGTTAGTCATAATTAAAACTGGCATCCTGCACAAAATTTGTAATGAAAGGTGGAATATCAAAGGAGACTGGGAAAGTTCACCTCCGCGGCTGGGAAACGATCTGCAAAGTCGATTGCCCCTATCGAAGTTTAGCATCCTAGGCCTGTTTGAATCTAGAGGTGTTCTGGAAAAGAACTTACAGAGTCCAGTACCGGTGCCAATGTCCAAAACTTGGTGGATGTTTTTCTCTTCGATGGGCGCAACATACAATTTGTCCCCGAGTATCTTCGTTGTGACAAGATGTGCGTAATCAAGTCGATCCATTTCGTTCTGTCACAGTCAAGATTTGAAGTCATAGAGTCAAACAAGAAACTCTCACTTGATCATTGGGCATGAAGTACGCTATGATGTGGCGTTAGCAGGGGACTTGAAATACAAAATTGCGCAAATAATGGTCAGAACATGACATACATCCCGCTCGATATGCGTGGTAGCGGCGACCATTCTCAATAGGGTAGTCAATGACGCTTGACGTCAATGATGCAGTATACGAGGAGCTGTTCAATTCGTCAGTGAAATGTTTCCCATCGTACACGGCGTCCAAGAGGGCCTACAGCTGATCCTCATTTGCAGAATCATCGTCTGCGGGCTTTTGCTCATATTAGCAAAATCATCGTCTGCCGAATTTTGAAGAGGCAATGTTATACCACGGCCGCATCGTCGACTTCCAGAGGCGGTTGCTCGTCATGATCATTTCCATTCGGCGTAACCCGCGGGGGGCCTGTAGGCGGGGCTGTGGTCGTTCCAGCAGCGGAGGCAACGCTCGGTTGCAGCTCGGCTGTACCTCCGGTCAAGTCGGTCATGATATCAGACAATGCTATCTAGTTCGGACAGACGGTGATCAATCAAAGAGGAAGAAGGGTGTGAACAATTGATTGAGGACAAGTCTCTGAATTGTAGACATGAGGGGTTTATGGGTGTTTTGTCTGGAACGTCGGACCAGGCTGGTGTTGGTGCGAGGCGTTGGAAGAGGCCCAGCAGTGCATGCAATCGACATGGATCTTGCTGTTTCCAACCAATGAGTACACACCGCGTGCCTATTCCCTGCTTCCGGCGAGGGAACATCACATAAATCCCCACGTTGCCCAGAGATTCTTGCTGAGAAAGGCAAATGCTCCATGTTGTGGTCACATTTCTGCAGGAGGAGCACGGAGATCAACCCACTCTGATAGGAAGGAGTACGAAACAGACCTAAACCACCCATATGATCTTTGGACACACACAAACTTGCCTTGGCGAATATGCGCCGAGTTTAACAACGCTGGCCAGCTTTATGAACGCATTTTCTTTCGCCCGGGCAGTAGACTTTCAAACGTTTTTTGATTTGAACACCATGTCAATCGTGACAGAAATTCTCATCAAAGAATATCCAACCTGTCCGCTTCTGTGCTGCCAGATCCCATGCAGATTTCAGCATCTCCGTCGCAACATGAGTTGGACTTTGATGCGTCGATAACATGACAGATGTCATACTCAAACGGTGTCGCCGTAGGTGCCGCCCCTTTACACCCAACAGTAGCAGTCGCACTGTCCGTCAGATCGCCTATGAACTAATTAGCCTCAGTCTACTGCGATTGAATCAGTGGACTTACACATATCCAATAGAGGCTACTGAAGGTTGTCTCTCGACGGGGCACTAATTAGTGTCAGTGAGATCCGAAAGGCACCACTGAGTTCGACCAACCTCCTTCTGACAGCGTGAGTAGCACGTCCAGTGGTCGTCTTCAGAACAATTTGCAGGCTTGTTCACTGTTAGTTCAGCACACGAGTCTACTTTCGTGAAATACAACTCACTCCCCACTGGCTCAAAGGCGGCTTGTTGTTGCACAGCATTTGGGCGATCTTGGCTGAGGCAATGCCATGCAGCATGAATGTTGTGGCCACGAAAATCAGCTTCATTGTGGTGTTTTGCAATCGTATTCCAATGTTCCTGGGGCATGCATTATTCTATGAGTGTTCGAAATGGCCGGCCTTATATGTTCCAAAGTCAGGACCCCTTTTCTCATCTTGACCCAAGCTTTAGAATGACTCGAATCGCGTAGCAAATTAATTCTCCTTGGCAAAATGAACTTTGCACCCCGTGGTTGAGGTCCTTGAGCTACCTTAACTCAACTCTCTCTAGTCTCGAGTGTCACCCGAACCGGTCATATTTCGAGTTATCTGGATAGATTGAAGTGAGACGATGCAAGTGGCATAAATCGGACTGAATTTGATGAGCCCATTTGAGTCTGATCTGCGGTGGGCCTCGTGAACACAACTGTACGTATGGCACTGCCTGTGCCCGACAGACGCTGTAGGCTTGACTCAAGAGTCAAGGTAGCTTCGACCGGCTACTGAAATTCTCTCAGTAGTTCGGGAGCAGAGGCGAAGACAATCATAGTCAATGAGACCTACCTGCCGCCTCAAGCGCGATCCGAGCCATCGGTACTGATCGAGTTCTTCCTCAAGTGAGATGCATCCTGCTGGTTCATCCTGCGTGACTCGTCCGATACAAAAATTTCAAAGATGGTTATTAGGAAGGAAGATATTTGGAACAGGCATTCGCGATTCAGTTGTTAGAGGACTGACGTGCCGCCATAGGTGTTTCGGGAGAGATTGAGTGCCGCGTGCGTGGGTAGTCAAATTAAGCTCGGCATCTGATTTCCAAATGAAGGCTACTATCGCCGAGGCAATGCATTTCTGAAGCGGCTGCTCGTGAAAGGTTTACCGGATGTAAGCTAGCGTCTTGCTCCAAGCAGGTTACGACTATAGTGCCAAGAACTTCAATCGAAAGCTTCAATGTTCAGATCTCACCGTCTCAACTTCTCTCTGAGGCGTCCGCAGGCAGACCCACCCCAGTCAATCCGATGTATTTTTACCGTCACGGGAGTTTATTGACGTTAAGTTACAGGTTGTAACTCGAGTCAAGCGTTGGGGATAGCGGCTCTATGCCGTGTCCAGACTCGCCTCCGGTACAGAAAATGCACCTATGACGCTCGGCTGTTTGTGAAGATGGGGTGGATGGTAGCGCGTCGTGTATAAAGATACATATCACCCAGACCATCTGACCTCAGTGAAAAAAAGATACGCTGAACTTCCATGACTGGATCGCCGCTTGACCAATTGGGGGGTGTCGCTTGAAGCTGCACATTCTGCATTTCCATATCCAGCCGATCCGAGCATGAAACATTTTTTCATATAAGCTCTGTCCGTTGACTTGGTGTTACCCTTCGATGTGGGATTTCTTACGTTGAAAAGGCTTCTCTAGAGTCGATCGGACGGTGGAATAGGAATTTCCGAGGCAAATATACTCCACCCCCAATACATCGAAAGGCTCACCTGCTGCAATAGGTACTCAGGGAAATCATTGCCTGGTTACAAATCGATTTAATAACCGGTATGATCATATACTTCTACCCATAGTGTTTCAGCCTCTCACAAACTCATATCGATTGATCACTTATTTACAACGCGGAAGCCTGCTTCTGTGCATCGAGAACGTCAGTTTTCCGAGGCAAAATAAGACACTCCAATCATCACATCAACACTCATACATATCACACCCTTGACCCATAGACGACGCGGAGAACAAGTCTTGGGAATACCAGGCTCATTTCATTTGTCTATCTGATTTGTATGTCACATAGGTGTCTATTACCAACTTTCCTAGCAATCATCACCCCTTATCCCCAAGGAAGCCCTCTCGAAAGGAGGCCATTGCTTACGTACGGGAGCTCAAGGGGTAACGTGGAAACCAGCACAGGGCGTTCCGCTGGTGTTTTTGCAGGCCGAGTTGGCGCTGGCAATGGAGTAGGCATTCGATCCAGTGCAAGAGAAGAAGGCTGAGCACTTGAAAGCCACGGAAAAGCCAGCAGCCCAGTCCCCGTTGGACGCCTCCTCGGCGAAGTCAAGGAAGCAAGTGGACTCGAACTTCAAGGGGCCAGTGGCCGAGATCTCGCAGTTACAGCCGACCACATTGGGCGTACCACCGCTTATTCCACCGATACGGGCAGTGCAGGTACCGGAGGGCTGGCCAGGAGTCTTGATCGGGTCGGTCCAGGTTCCGGAGATGTAGATCTCGCTGCCGACCTTGCCTCCGAGGGCGTAGTACTTGGCGTGGGCTTCCCATTTGCCAGCTGCACGGGCATCAAGTTCAGAACCTGCCGGGCTATGTTCGCGTTTTTGATCAGAACTTGTTCATCAATCCTACTCAGTTGTAGACATACCTGCGTGGCTCCATGCTACCCATCTCAGTGGGAACGGCGCTCGCAAGAGCAGCCAGGAAAAGAATGTGAGTAGGGTTGAAGTGCATCTTTGCGGTACAATTGTGTGTTGGATCAAACGTAGAGCAGAGAGTGTGTCTTGTAGGAAGTGAATGAGTGTGGTGATTGAAGCGTGGAACTGCGGCTGAGGAGAGATATCTTAGACGCCCAAAGGAGGACGACAGCGCATGTTCTTATACGTCCCATGGTAGGCTATCTATTGACCATGATCAGTGTGTCCTGTAGATCTTAGCATCGGCCGGATGCAGATAGTCTGCTGACCATCTTTTCTTCTGCCTAGGGAAATTTTGTTCACATCTCACTGTCGAGTCACTGTTTACTCAACCTCAAATGTCATTCTCATCTTTGGGTGCAGATAGTCTGCCAACTGAGGTTTCTTCTGCCTGGGCAAATCTCAATGCTAGGTCAACCTCGAGTCACGGTCTGCTGAACGTTCAGTGCTACTGTGCATGCATCTCTGGCTTAAGCCCAATTGGTTCTGGAATCTCTGCCATGATTCACGGCTCTGCCGAACTTCCCAGCCACGTCGTTCGGAACTGATTACTGATGGAAACATGCGCCGGAGACAAACATTATCGTCGCTTTCCAGAGCCGCCACTCCTCCATTAAGGTCGCACATAACATCTCCATTGATTTTCAAACTAAAAGCTTCAAATACGTCATATCATGCATCATATCACCGTACGACTTTTATACTTTGAAAGTCAGTCAATCGTTCGGCCAACCATCATAACATCTACGTGACAGTTGCCGTGTAGCTTATCCGTACAGTCGCGAACTTTGACTCGCGGGCTGAAAAATGAGCCAATCAAACAAACTTCTGATTTTAGACATGCAAACCGCCTAGGAGGAATGGACGTTAATTATGTCCCTGTTACTTGAATCGTAAGGTCTCCAATTAAGTGCGGAAAAAAGAGGCGATTTTTTAGATCGATGGATACTGCTGATAAGCATTCATATTTGCGAGCGGGTCGATCTTATTTCCAGAGCTTCTAGCACCAGTTACAAGCTTTGCGCTAGCGTCTACCCGCTGGTGGTCAGGGGATGCCCTGGGTCTTTCAGCGAGGCTGGCAACTTCAAAAGTGCCCTGGCGCTGAGCCGCCCGGCTTGCTTGAGGGGATGATCCTGTCTTGCTGAAGGAATAGAGTTCCTGTCAGATTGACGCCTGTGTCTGGATGAACACTTCATTGCCCTCATCTTTATTCTTCCTCAGTTCGGCAAAGCCGATCGATTTACTCGAGCCCCAGTGGAAATGCACAACAGGCGGCCGACTTCTGATGGCAAACATACAATTGCTGGCATCGAATGACTTGGTTCTGCTGTACTTGTTCGGAGCTCCACCTGCTAAGCCGACCATAACGGGACCAGGCAGTGAACAATGAACGGCTACTGGCAACTCTGCTTGCCCCCACCGAGCGAGGATTCATCCACGTCAACGATTACCGAAAGCGACGCGGAAATGGGCGACGTCTAGAACCACAAGCACAGGAAGACGAAAAAAACTTAAAATCAATTAAAGAATGCAAAATCTATGTCTCGGTATATGTCGGAGATTTTGCAAATTCCACGCGAGGCTTGGGCTTTTCAAGGCTTACTCCTCAGCCATCCCATGCTCCTCCGCCACATATTCTTCACCCTCCCAAGCTCAGCTATGCGTCCTCGATACTTCATGCTATGAAGGACGACCTCCCGCATGAGCTGGTCAACTCCCTCTCCAGTCTTTACTGAGCAGTCAACATAGCCAACTGCTCCAATCCTTTCCTGGATTTGAATCCCCTATCGGAGAAGTACGGCGGAGTCTACGAAGCGACTGCCTACCTACTTTCAAGACGAGGTTCGACCCCTTAGGGCTTATTACTCAACCATCCCATACTTCTTCTCCATATATTTTTCATTCTTCCATGGCTGTTCATCCGCTGTTTGTATCCCAGACTCTGTACGATTATCTCCTTCATAAGTTCCTCCACACCCTCCCCTGTCTTGGCTGAGCAGTCAGTGTAATTGACTGCTCCGATTCTTTCCTGAATCTGGAATCCCTGTGGCGCGGCTGATCTTAGCAACTTCTCACTTGGGAGTTTCGCTTGGGTTCCCAAGACTACCACTTACCTCGCGACTACTACAAGGCTCATTCATTCCATGTACTTTATCAGTAATTCGCAGGTCCATCTTTGTACCTGCCAGTATCAGTGGCTTTTGTGGGAATAATTCTCGTAGCCGGGGTGCCCACTGTGATGACAACAAATTTAGAAGGTAAGTTCCATAGCTCATTCAACGTCACACGGTCAAAGCCCCACTTGTCCGCGGCGTAGTCAGGATGTATCTGGGAGTGAGCTCACCACGGTGTCAATGTCTGATACTAGCTCAGGCTCGTCCACTGCAAAACACAAGACTATGCAACCTATGGCTTCCGAGATGTTCTGAACGATGTCGGGAAGCAGGCGGTCGTTAATGGGCCCAGGACTATCCCATAGAACAAGCTCAAATGACGTTGTTCCTGAGTCTAGTTCTACCGAGCATGCCTTGTAGTGCGGGGTGAGTACCCTGGTGAAGTCGTTCTATTGAATTTTCATCATGTCAGATCACAAGTCTTCAGTCACCCAAGATTCTTCGAGTGTTAATTTCGTTGACGGAAAATAAAATGCATCGTACCGCATTGGCCAGCGTTTCAGAACCATAAATATAGCGGCTATGATATTCATGTGCAACGTCAGTACGTGGTCGTGAAGCGTGAATGGAATGTGGGTACGAAACCTGTCAAGAGGTGTTTCGTCGTTACGAACCTGATAAGCGAAGTCTTTCCGCTGCATGTCCCGCCAACAAACAAAGCCCTGATTCTGGGAAGTAGCGGAACAGGTATATCTGGTCTGGTCACGCCGGGGTCTTGGTCAATGACCATTACGGTCTGGTCACACTCGGCAGCCGTGTTTTTGTGTGAGCTGCTACTCGATACGGGCACTTCAGTTGTATCATCAAACGTAGCAGTCTTCAAAGATGATCGATCGGATCCATGTCTTGAGAACTCGCCTGTTCGTTCTTGAATGAGTGAAGCACGATCCCTGACACCCAGTTCCGGATTTGATATCTGAAGATGGAATGTCAACTCCGTCATCTTTACCTTTGATTGACATGCCAATCAGGGTATATCCTCAACAGACTTACTGATACTTGATGGGGTGGGAGGAATTTATCCACACATCCCTGCCCCTTTCCCCCGGTATGATCCAGCTTTTTAGAATCAAGGTAATCCGACAGCCCTATCGGTAACACCCTTCCTACATTCTCCTCGCTTTCTCGGCATGTTGATTCGAGTGCGGTTTCCGCCTCATCCGCTTCGTCATATTCTCCAAGAAACGGCCAGTACCAGCCCGTGTGGTACTCATGACCACCAGCCAGCGCACGCTCATCTATAGATTCCGTCTTTGAACACAGGTCTGAGGGACTCTGGTCTACATACGGGGCGACCAAATGGATAGCCGAACTGCGTTGAGGCATTAGCTCTGTCTCCGACACACAGCTAGACAGGGAGTCCTTTCTCGTCATAGTTTCTGCTGCACCATATTCGTTTGGTATGTCGAGTGACGCCGGCTTCGTAATCTCGACCTTCGGCAGAATCCTCATGCCGCTTGCAGCTGTTACTTCCACCTCGTCTTGGGGAGGATTCAACACTATACTGGCATCCTCTGACATCAACAGGCTGGAAAGAACCAGCTGGTATTCCTCCTCCCCATCTGTGTCATGTTGTCGAGCGCAAATCCTGATCATCATGTTCAATGACCTCTCCAAGTCCTCTCGCCCTTCAAGGCCAAGTTTGTGATATGCCTTGATACAGGCTCTCGCGTGGAGACGAGCTTCCACCAAATCGTCGAGTTGAAGCAAGACCTCTGCAAGGGTCAGCTTCTCTTTCAAGACCTCTGTAGAGTCCGCGGTTGCAGTTCTTGATAGAAGCGACAGCCGCTCATTAATGATCTCTTTGGTCTCACGCCATTTCCCTTGCTGTCGGTAAAGCGTGGCAAGATCGCTCAATCCTTCTCTATACATCTCAACGTGCTGTTTGTGGCTTTTGGACGCCTTCAGACGATCAAGTCCCTTTCGCAATAGTCTCTCGGCCGTACTCAGATCGTCACCGTCAAACGCTTGTCTGCCTCGCTTCAGATGAAGAGTTGCAATTTCTCTCTCGATATCGTCATCGGAATCTGATAGATCATGTGCCGAAAGCAAGGTGACTGGCTGTGAATGAAGAGATGGCGCATGGTCAATAGCCACAAGGTCTAACTTTGAGGTGGTCGTAATCCAAGCGATGGTGTCCGGGTTTGGTTGAGTGAGAAAGTCGTGAAACTCCGATGCTTCAGCCACGGAATTCGTGTTTTCGGTCGTGAAAGATAGGGAGGAAGCTGTAGTGGCAATTCTGGCTGAGGATCGAATGCATTTCTTCATATTTCTCAAGCTTTCCATACGCTCTTGGGTCTTGTCGGTGGGCTGCCTTTGACCCAGGGCCTCCATGCGACTACAGACATCCTGAGAGGTTTGATGGATGGTTGTCACTAGCTCCATGACCTCAGAACAAAATTCGGGGCTACTACCTATGCCTCTCGAGAGGACTTGGGTACATCTGGTATCCACGTTAGCATGCACCTGGTGACAAAAAACTAAAAAAGCTCAAAGACTACTGACAGCACGACGACTTGAAGTGAGACAGATATTGTCTCTCGACAGCTAGACAGCTGACTCTGAAAGGCCATTACATCCTCCCAGGAAGACTTCAAACGGAGAGCTTTTCGAGCCGAGTCCAGAAAATTTACCGACTTGTCGATTTTGGCCAACTTGGAAGCAAAATTGGCCAAAAGTATTTTCCCGTCAGAAATACAGGCCGATATGTTAGCCCAGTGGCTGGCCAAATAACCTGTAGCTTGTAGTATGTGCTGTATTTCGTCAGAATCCAGAGTGGCCCGCGTGGATTCCAGCATGGCCTTGAAAATTTCCACCTCACTGATCAGCACACGCAGCCGTCCATCGATGCCCTTTGAAGAGTCCGCGACACCCTTTAGCGACGTAATTATCTTCGAACTGGTTCCAATAAGGCCGACAACGCCAACCGTGATAGAGAAGGGATCCATGACGATTGGGTTGGATGATCAGGCTGGAAACCCCGCACTAGGATGCCGTCGTTGGCTACATGCGTAGGGTTCTCGTTATGCTGTTTTATTTTTCTTAGAATGTCCTTAAAGGTAGGTAAAGTAAACATAGAAAGACGGCGCCGTTGGAGACGAGACAGCGTAACAAGAGCTATGCTCTGTGCGATGCAGCTTTTTGTACCTGGAGGTATGTGTCTGATAAGGTTGGAGGAAACGCGAGAGGAAAGGGCAGCCTTGATCACTTCTGCGATGCATGTAGGCCCGGATTGAGTCACGTTACTTTGATTTGGCCATGTCTCACTGCAGCAGGCTGAGCTGAAAACTTGGGAAAGACCTCGCCACCAGACGTGACAGACGTAAGCCACTGGCTAAGAAGGGAAAGATGCATGAGCATTTGCATGGCAGTATCCGTCTTCCTATTGGGCGTTTCGTTGCTTACGCTGACAAGGGTAGGAGCTAGGCACCCACACCATGAAAAGATCCGATAGACTGACGAACATATCATAATTCAAGAAGGGCTGTACTAGGAATCGCCAAACGCGTCCGCTAACAGCCTTTCCTCCTCAACCTGATGGACCTTCTTCGAACCCGTCGCCGCAGCCGCCCCCGTCCCCCTGCCAGCGTACACGATCCGACTTAACTTGTGATTCTCGGACTCTGAAGCTGCCGTCTCCAGCCTATCGCGCATGTACTGCCAAGCACCTCCGTTATACGGCTCCTCCTGACACCACACAATCGTCTGCGCGTTCGGGTACGAGTCGAGGTTCTCCTTGACCTCAGCCCACGGGAAGGGATGTAGTTCCTCGATGCGCGTGATGGCTGTGTTCTTGATGCCCTTTGCTTCGCGGTGTTTATGGAGCGAGGCGTAGACTTGGCCGCTGCAGAGGATGACACGGCTGATTTCTTCTCGGGGTAAGATACTGTTGCCGTGCTCTGGGTCAGAGAGGACTGGCTGGAAGGTCGATGTGCCGGTGAGCTCTTGTACAGATGAGCGTGCCAAAGGGTGGCGGAGGAGAGATTTAGAGAAGAAGATGATGAGGGCTGGAGATGTTAGCGTACAATCTTCCTCTTATGGCCGTATGGAGTAAACTTACGCTTCTTGTGAGGCGAATAAATCTGCCGTCTCAACGCATGAAACAAATTTGCCGGCGTCGTCATATACACAATCCGCACATTACACTCCCTCCCCGCCCTCTCCAGATCCTCAGGCCACGCTCTCGGATCCTCGCTCCCCAGCTCCAAAAACCTGCCCAGCCTCGCCGACGAATGCTCCGGGCCCTGCCCATCATACCCATGCGGCAACGACATCACAAGCCCGCTCTTCAACAACCACTTCGCCTCGCCCGAAGCGATGAACTGGTCAATCACAACCTGCGCATTGTTCGCAAAGTCGCCAAACTGTGCCTCCCACATGACCAGCGACTCCCGCGCCGCGAGGGAGTACCCGTAGTCGAAGCCGAGCACGCCGAACTCGCTCAGCGGCGAGTTGACGGCGGTGTACCGCGCAGGCTGGGGGTCTTGGAGATGGTTCAGGGGCGTGTACTTGGCGTGCGTGGTCTGGTCGTGCAGGACGGAGTGGCGCTGGGAGAAGGTCCCGCGCTCGACGTCTTGGCCGCTGATGCGCACGGGCTTGCCTTCCAGGACGAGGGAGCCGAAGGCGAGTGCTTCTGCGGTGGACCAGTCGACGGTTCCGGCGTCGAAGGCTTGCTTTTTGGCGGCGAGGATGCGTTGGAGGTTGCGGTGGAGGTTGAAGCCTTCTGGCACGCTGGTGATTGCCTCGGCGATGGTTGACAAAGTTGCCTCGCTCACTGCCGTCGATGTTGACGAAGGCTCAGAGGTGAGCTTTTCTCCCGTCTTTAGATCTTCAGCAGGCAGTTTGCTCCTCGCCAATTTCTCCTCCAACTGCTCCCAAACCCACCTCTTCTGCTCCTCCACCACCTCCGCCTGCATCGTCCCCTCGCCAACTAGCTTCTCAACGTACTTCTCCAGCAACGCCGGCTGCGCCGCAATCCGCTTGTACATCTCCGGCTGCGTGAAGCTCGCCTGGTCGATCTCGTTGTGCCCAAAGCGCCGGTAGCAGTTGACGTCGATGACGATGTCGGACCGGAACTCGGCCCGCCAGTCGGCGGCGAGCTTGCACAGGAACACGACCGCCTCCGGGTCGTCCCCGTTGACGTGGAAGATTGGGGCTTCGATGTACTTGGCCAGGTCGGAGCAGTACGACGTCGACCGGGAGTCGGGAGAGTCTGTGGTGAAGCCGATTTGGTTGTTCACCATGAGCCGCACCGTTCCGCCGACTTCGTACCCCTTCAAACCCGAGAGATTCAGCGTCTCGTACACCGGCCCTTGCCCGGAGAAGGCTGCGTCCCCGTGTAGTGCCATGAACATGACCTTGGACTGGTCCACATCCCCCTTGATCTCCTGCACAGCCTTCGCCTTACCCTGCGCAACGGGATCAACGGCCTCGAGATGCGACGGGTTAGGCAGCATCTCGACCCCGACCACACCCCCACCCGCCGTCGCCCTCTCGCCCTCCATTCCGAAGTGATACTTCACATCACCCGTCTGCCCGCCCTCCACATCAAACTTCTCCGTGCCCGCAAACTGCCGAAACAGTGTCTCGAAGTCCTTCCCGTAGACGGTGCTCATCATGTTCATCCGCCCGCGGTGGCAGCTCCCGATGACGATGTCCCTTACGCCGTGGACATCAGCGCAGCGATCCATCAGCGCCGCGAGGCCTGGAGCAAGGCCCTCCGCGCCGTCGAGGCCGAAGCGCTTCTCGTTGGGGAACTTGGTCGCGAGGAAGCGCTCGAGGGAGGTCGCCCAGATGAGGGTGTCGAGGATGCGCTGCTTCTCGGCAGGGGAGGGAGTGGAGGCGTGGTATGTCTCGACTCGTTGACGGATCCAGGCGCGTTTGGCGGGGTCAGAGATGTGGTGGTACTCGACGCCGAAGGAGCCGGAGTAGATCTGCTCGCAGGTGGCGATGATGTCGCGGAGGGGCATGGTTTTGGCGGTTCTGGCGAGGTGGGGGAAGAGGTCTGGTCCGAGAGGGATTTCGCGGTCGAGGTCTGCTGTGGTGAAGCCATACTTGCTGAGGTTTGAGGAGCCGGGTAGGTCGGGGTGGGCTTGAACTCTGGAATTGCTGACGTTTTCCAGAGGGTTGATCTTTGCTTTGGTGTGGCCGTATTCTTGGAACGCGCGTACGATGTTTTGGGCTTTGAGGTAGTACACCGCATCGCTTGTTTCTGCTACGCTGATGACCGGCGCCTCTTCTGTGTACCGACTTGACATCAAGCCTGGCGGGGGTCTGAAGGCTTGTGTGGACGGTACCGTGGGGTCTTCCATGTTGCGGAAGTAAGTCTGCCAGGAGACGTGAACATCTTTGGGGTTGGCCTTCCATGCTAGATACATCTCGTCGACGTAGTTTGCCGCCCCACCTTGTAAGAAGGAGTCGATGGGACTCTAACAGACAGACTCTTGTCAACAAAGCCGGACGATACAATGAGATCGGGGTAAGGACTTACAGGAGGCGCTCTAAGATCAACCGCTTCCGCTGCCGTGGCATATGACCTGCCCTTCACCGGCGATAGGGCGCAGGCTCCGCTGGAAAAGCATGCTTGCTGTAACTTGGGGACGAAGCTCGTCTGCGACGGGTGATGGCGCCTGGCGCGTGCTGAGGTTGAAATTTGAGGTGTTGCGAACGCCTTTACGGCCTCGCATCGTGAGGCAGCTCTGAGTGACCGGAGCATGATCAACAATGCTCAAATTGTGCAAGTTAGGAAATCCGTCAGGGTTCCTAAAGAATTTTGGAGCCTTCTTTTGCCCAATGTCATGGGGAATCAAGGCTTGATCTCCAAGTCGAACAGATGTCAGTAGTATGGTAGTCCCATAGATGGACGAGAAAGCATTCGCAAGCTTCAACACCGAGGTTGGGAGATGCTGCTGCTCGCCGGGAAAGATCTGGCTCTCAGAAACGGCAGTGACATTTCGCGGGGCGGGTCATAAACAGACCGAGGTCGGCTACTTGAAATGTTAGTGACCGAGACTGCATGCGAATTTGACAAGTTTGTCATTACGCTCTAGCTGTCATACTTTCCCATGCATTAATCGGCAGGAGTTATCAATCGCTGAAAGACTGGTGGGCTGGCTGATGCGGGTGTAAGATGTGGTCCCCGGATGTTGGAGCCGAGACTGGCGGTCCACTGGGACCAATTCCCGCAGTACCAGCCAGGACAGCGACCGGCGTGGAGGCGGAGGGTGCAAGTCAAGTTGAGGCGCAAAACCTCCCCGCATTGAAGAATGACCCCAACATTTACTTGGCATACATGTGGGGGGATTGGAGTTGGCAGCACATTCTTCAACAGCAGAGGCATGTGGATGGTGCAGCTTAGAAATCGAAATGGGCCTGAACCAGGACAACGCTGGGCATTGGATTCTTCCAATTATCTACGACCAGACCTTCTATGATGCAGCAGTGTACGCCTCTCCGATGCCAATGCCAGGCAATGCCATCCCGCCCAGGTACAAAGAAAAGTTTACAGATATAACACGGGACGCGTAGCCAGCCAGCCTCCCCTCACCAGCTGTTGTGCTATGTACCTACTCCCCAGGCTTCTATACGCAGCAGATTAGGCCAGGAGAAGTCTGGCGGGGTCCTCGATGTAGCTCTTGACGACGTTCAAGAAGGTTACGGCCTCGCGGCCGTCAATGAGGCGGTGGTCGTAGGTGACGGTGATGTACATCATGGGGCGGATCTCGAGCTTGCCGTTGACGACGACGGGGCGCTCCTTGATTCCGTTCATGTTGAAGACGGCGGCCTGGGGGTAGTTGATGACGGGGGTGCCGAAGAGGGAGCCGAAGATGCCGGGGTTGGAGATGGAGAAGTTGCCGCCCTCGAGGTCGGGCATGGTGAGCTTGCCGTCGCGAGCCTGTAGTCATGGTCTTAGCATCTTGTCATGTTAACAAGTGTGAGTGCCGGGGGC